AGCTCTTTTCCCGCCATCCCTCGACGGGGCCTCGCCGCTTCTCGCCGCTTTATTCGGGACCAGCACCGAGTTGAGACAAGGTGCACACGTGTCGAGGCTGAGGCTTTGATGTTGGTGCCGGATGAAGTGGAAATCCGACGGCCCGTAATTTTTGTTTCTTTTTCGGGTCTGGCGTCGTCTTTTGTTGGAGGATGGAATCTGGCGATAGTTTTTGCGCTTGTGTACGTGTAAGTGCGGGCGAGCTGTCACGTTTAGGTGACGGTTGTTTATATTAGGAAGGTCAGTGGTGTTGAAATGACGGTTTTGCCCTGTGATGATAATGATGTGACACGTGCGTGGTTTTAGTGCTATATCCTCTGGTTTAAAGGTTAAGCGGTGTGCAAAATAGACATTAATAAGTCCATATAGAAAAATTCTTTAAGGACCCAAAATATGGGACCAATAGGGGAGACAAGTGAGGTATCCCCCTCCTATTGGATAATGAGTTGGCCATCATTATCCAATAGGAGGGGGACACCTCACTTATCCCTTTTATTGGTGTCATATTTTGGGTCCCTGTAGCAAAGCTCGTCCATATATAGTTTGATTTACCAATGATGTTCATTTTATGCTATTGATTTTGTGCCGTCTTGATACAATAAGATATAAACATGTTAAACTATAAATCTCTCTAGTTGGATTTCTTTGAGAATATGAAAAATAAAATTAAGAAATAATTTACAATGCGGTAGGACAAAACTCGTTTATAAAGGGGTTATTTAAAGAACTTATGTACTTGGGGAGTAAGTTTAATATGAACATTAGGAACCTAATATGCAATTAAGAACAAAATTAGTGTCTAACTTGACTAAAACCCAATAAAAAACCGTGTATTGTATTTTTAACACTTGATCACGAGCAAGAAAACAAAAATCCATAAGTACATTATTCTACTTAAAGAACCCATATTATGGGGGTTTTAAGTAAGAAAAGGAAGTTTTCTGTAAGGTTTTCATATTCTACCCCGTGTATGTGTGCCAATTGATCATTCATTTTTGTTCTTGAACTCAACTCATTGCATTTTACGGGCAACTAGATACTCACTGAAGTAGATCCTAGACATTCTATAGTTTAACCGTGTATCATCTGCTTACGAATTATTCTAGTGTATTGTCTAGATTTTTTTTTTTCCTTTCATATTTTAAAATTATTATAAAATGAGGTTTGCTTCGGTGCTCCAAAAATAGTTTTTTTTTAATTTTTAAACTAACAAAAATAACAAATGAGCTAACATAACAAAGGGTATTTTAGTCTTTCAAAATCATCTAATCACTTGATTCCTAATACCTGTTTCATGAAACGCCCTTCAAATCTCTCAATGATAAAATTCCTATTAACAAGCTGCAAGTATTCAAGCAGTACAGAGAAACAACCAAGTACGTATTCACGTGTAATCTCCAACGAAGCTATGAGTTTCATCTCCAAGAAGTGATTACTGATTTGAAGACCGAGAAATTTAAGAGCTTAACAACTACATCATACTATATAATTAATTTTTTTTTAAAAAGGAAAATAAGAGGTACCTTTCATGACGTTTTCTTTCTCTTCACGCGATTTTTTGGAGGCCGACCGGTTTCTTCTAATGGAAAGTGCGGAGAAAAGGTTTGGTTTTAATAATTAATTAAAGAATTTTAATTAATGATAAATTTTGTTTCTCTCATAAATTATATTTCCTAAAATAACCTTTTTACCCATAGTTAATTACAATTTTGAGTGTGGAACACCTCATAACCGTCAAATCTATCTACCTACAATTGTGAGAGCTATTTTTAAGTAATTTATTTACGGATTTGCCATCATTGCTCCAACTAATCTCTATGGAGCACCGAAGCTGTAGGCCTATAAAATATCAATCTCAATATCTTGTTTGAATATGTTTAAGAAGATAAGTTTGTCTTATTAACTCATATCAAGCAACTGAAAATATGCTCTTTCTTTCTTTTTGTTGGCTAAGTTGTTGGAGAAAAGTCAATTTTGTCTTTGTGAATAGTCCCACATGGACTAAAGAGATGAACAGTAAGGGGTTTAAATTGCTTCACTTCTTATAGGGCTTTGAATAGTATTTTAGGTTTTGTATTGTGTAGACTTTGCATAACACATGCGCGCGCGCGACGCACGCGCACGTTTTTGTTTTGTCAAACTTCTTTTTGCACGTTTTTCGTGTGCGTAACGGTTGCGTGAACGTGGGTAACGGTCGTGAGATTATGGCGAACGTTATCAAATTTATTGTGGTGATATGTAACGGCTCTCTCAACCCTCTATATATTCAGCCCTTTGCTTTTTCAAAAAACACAACAACAAAAAGCCTCTTCTCCCTCTCTTCCAGTCTTCCTCTTCTTTGTTGAAACAGAAACAAAATACTTCTTCCTCTTAAATTTGTTCGTGTTATTTTATATTGGGCAACCGTCTTCATCTGAGCAGAATCTCTATACTCTCACCCGAGTTCAGAGGCCGACCGAATTCCGGGGGTTTTTATTGCTAAGGGAGAGGGAATCATTTGCGTCAGGGCAATAGACGGGTCCTCAATCTTCTAGGGCAGTATTTACACGACTACTCCCGATCAAGCCAGAATTTCTTATTTCCTTTAATTTCGGATTTTGCATATTATAAGTTTATTTGATTTTTATCCAACACTTTTTTCCGTTAAATCTTAATACAAAGTTATATTGCATTTTGTATACACTAAAAGCAGGTCAGAAGTAATCATGATCTGTATAAAATTTAATTAGAATTTGTTAGATAATTGTTATATAATTCTCTATAGTATGATATATATTTTGTTCTTGTTATTGAAGGTATTCACTACATGCAGATGTATTTATATTGGATCTGTTTTTTATATTTGTTCGCTTGTGTTAATATTTGATAAAACATATAAGAGTCTTTGTAGTTGTATCAACGTGTACATGTACATGTACATGTACATTAAAGATTATTTTATTAACCATATACGTAGTCAGATTGTCATACTAATATATTTTTATTGTAAATTCATATGCATTGTTAAAGAGAGTATTATAAACATCAGTCCTCTTAATTAGGAACCCGTTTGGAGTTTTCTCTTATCTAGTCTTGCACTCAAAAATGCTATAAAGTATTTGAGGCTGCAAACATTGCAACATTTATATAATATTTATTTTATTTCACTTTAAAGAAGGGTTTTTTTTTTAGAAAGGAAACAGGGTGAGGTGCCCTATTCATTCAATGACTGAAAAAAACTTTACATGAGGAAGTTCAAAAGGCAGTTGGAAGAAGTCAATAAAACATGATCAAGAGAATTGGGAGCAGACTTTGTCGTCACCAAAGCTCCGATCATGTTTTCGGACAGTACAACTACTAGGACAGAAGAACTAATAAAAGTAAGAGTATTTACAAGTTGGTACCCCCCAACTTCGTCATAAGACAAACTGACATTGTCTTGATGATCACAAACTAACAAAACAACTAACAAAAGATTCATGCTAAGAGTTGACAGACTGGTGTTGCGTTTGTCGACGGAAGTTATATCCCACATGGTCCTGTGCGGCATCCTGAAGTAGAGCATCCAGACCTCATTCGTTGGTAATATTGCATATTACCTCTGCCTGCTTGACTCCCTGACCAGAATAGAGTGAAATATGCCACATTAGATGCAATCTTTTGAGGTTGGATTTTAACAGATTTGAAGATAATGTTGTTTCGATTGCGTCATATGCACCAACAAACTGTAAGAAATCTATTACCCCTTTAAAAGAGCGAGTTACTGAAAAAACTTTCCCTCCCCAAATTAACCTTCAACCGGAACCTATATACCAATCTCATCCCTTAGAACATCCGCCGATATCAAAAGCCCTAAATATTCCTTCGGTTCCTCCTCTCCGCCTTCTACTCAGCCCATTCGATCTTCCGTTAAAATTTTTTAAGATGAAATGAATTCGCAGATTCATCCGTTACCCTAAATCTTTCTTAGGTTACGCCTTCTCTCCGCCTTCTCTCCGCCTTCTTTCAGTTCTTATTACGTTACGTCTTCCCACGATGTTAAGCCATAAATTTCCAAAGATGATTGTTCTTGCCCTAATCATACTCTCTGCGCATCCGCCATCATCTCCTCAGCTGTCTGAAATTTTGCATCGGTAAGAATGATTTTTCTTTTATGCTCTTCATTTAATCATTTAATTTAATTTTGTTCTAATTAGCAATCATCTCCTTCTGTTCTAATTCAACAAAAGGTCAAGGATTGTCCGAATCAGGGCTTTCTTCAATTCTTCGTATTGCTTCTTTTTCTGTTTCATCAGGTAAGCCATGTACTCTTTTGGATTTTTATATTATAATCATCAAATTTTATTTTTAAGTATATGTTATTCCAAAAATGTGTAATAAAAGCTTTCTCCTGGATTAAAAAGACGAGTATCATGCTATTATAGTACTGGTTTTGTAAACTGTGATTTCCTACCTTTTTTCCCCTTCATTCCAATTCTAAGATATCCAGTAATACGAGACTTTGATGTTGATGGTTATCCAACTGACTCTGACTGTTAAATTTTAAGTTAAAAGGTAGGAATCCTTCACTATTTTCTTATATTGATTCCCTTTGTATTTTTAAAAGTTCGCATATCAGAATCCTGTATTTTGTCATTAAAGGAAGAAGTTCCATGGACGCACTCCTCTTGTTTGTTCAAATGCCTCAATGCTCAATATTAGCTTTACAACTTTAGTAGAATTTCCATCTGTAATATGGAAGTATATTGGGATCATATTTGATTTTTTTTCATAGCATGCGCCTTATAGATTATGACAGTATTTTTGTTATGAAGATTTTGTAGGTGAAATTTAAGATTGAACGAAGTTAGGTTGCCAATTGCGATACTATTGTGCTAACTCCTATGCTATAATTTTTCAGCTGCAAATGAATCTTGAATCTCCAGAATTTGATTAAAAAGAAATGCCCTATAGTAATCTTGAACCTTAAATTTAGTAGAGTCATGCATTGCACCGAAGCAATCAGTCAGGAATGTACAATATGACAGAAAGAAAATAATACCAAGACAACCCATGGAGATTTCCTTTAACAAATTCACTACGTAACTTTATCATATTGGAAAATACAATCAAGTTTAAACTAATGGAAGAAAAATACTATGGAGGAGATGGTCTTTATAGACTAAGAGCCCCAAATAAGACATTTTCCATGTTAGAATTCATTTATTAACTTTTGTGCCAATGCTACATGCTCCAAAAATATATAGTTGTTACTTGTTAATCATGTTATGTTCATGACCAGCTTGTGTATGGTTGTGAACCAAAAAAAATACTAAATTATATATTGAAGTGAATAAAGAAATCACATGAAGCTTATATGCATCCAGAGATCAGCACTTACTAAAATAATTTTGGTTTCATCCAGGTCCCTCTGAATTTTCATCAACTTATCAGCCTCTGATTGATCCTAAAGGAAGATAACACATGATAAAAGAACGGTTAAGTTAGCAGTTTTCATCCGTGATAAACTATTAAACCGTAGAGAACTGAAATGTCTTTAAGACTCTAATAAATTTAAGGTTTTCGATAAGCATATTGTATATTCATATATACTTATATAGAATATTTTTGAACTGTTAAGATTACTTGTGAACTGTTATAATATGAATATACAATACGAATGCACGTGGTAAAGCTTATATGATAAAGCATCTTATATAGAACGTGAAAAAACTGGTTTCCACATAAATAGTTGCATGCGCCTTATAGATTATGACAGTATTTTTGTTATGAAGATTTTGTAGGTGAAATTTAAGTTTGAACGAAGTTAGGTTGCCAATTGCTATACTATTGTGCTAACTCCTATGCTATAATTTTTCAGCTGCAAATGATTCTTGAATCTCCAGAATTTGATTAAAAAGAAATGCCCTATAGTCCTCTTTTGTAAAAATAGCATAGTCCTTTTAACCAGAGAGTGAAGATGGTTAATATATAGCATGGGGCACAAGAAATTGTTTGGGGTGGATTTCATGGATTGATATGCAATATTAGGTATAAACACCATGTATTGAATCCCAGTTATAAGTGCGCCAATGCATAAAAGTAGCATTATTGAAATAACAGAGATATAGGTGTATACCGCACTCATATTTTATCTTAACAAATCTCATTACATATAGATTATGGGCACATATATATATATAATGATACACTCAATGTTCCAGTTCTTCAATGTATATACCGTCAATGCTTTGTAGTTGTATTATATCTTAAGTGATTGTAGTATTTTTAAAAAAATAGCATACTCATTTTTTGCATATCAAATAATGTTTTGATATTGGGGTTAAAATAGTAGTTAATCTTTGCCTTAAATGTGCAATACCAATTGTTTTTTGCAAGTTTCCCAATATATTAATAGCATCTTTTAATTTTGATGAAAGAGCTGTTAGGAAAGACATCCTTTTTTTTTTTAAACTCTAATAAATTTAAGGTTTTCGATAAGCATATTGTATATTCATATATACTTATATAGAATATTTGTGAACTGTTAAGATTACTTGTGAACTGTTATAATATGAATATACAATATGAATGCACGTGGTAAAGCTTATATGATAAAGCATCTTATATAGAACGTGAAAAAACTGGTTTCCACATAAATAGTTGTATCCACCTTAAATGTTTACCATTAGTATATGTTGTGAACATGTGAAGATATCTGGACATCTATTAACTCATCAAATAGATGTTTAAGGGCGTATATTCATTTGAGATGGAAAAATTGGGATGATATGTTGGTTAAAGGTGTGTTTAAATGAATAACAGGAAAGATATTCTAACAGGTATTTAGGGATGATATAGTTTATATTATGAATATTACATGTCATTCAAACTCCCAGTCACAATTTTTAATAAGATGATCTATCATATATCATATAAAACCATACTTATAGGTATTAATGTTTGAACATGAACAGAGTACTGAAACATTTAGGGTAGATTCTAAACTGTGTCATCACTATTAAAGGTGTGTTTAGGGTAGTGCACCAGAACAAGTAGGTGGTTCCTGAATGGAAGTACAAGAAACTTTGTGAAAAACAACAAATTGGAAAAAAAAAGTAATGAAAGTTAGAATGGTAAAGAAGGTGAATTCTGTACCAATATACTTGTAACATTGGAAAAGTGACTTTATCAAACCTAAACAAAATACGTTTAGTGATGTTATTTTTCTAAAACAGACACAGGCACATTCTGCTGTCACTCACTGTAACTAACTCTATGTAATCTCAAACTCATTTAATTTACTGAATATAGTCAGTCTTAGAAATCAGTGTTAAAATTTTTTGTTATGCCTATTTATTTGGTAGAGTCAGTGTTGTTCATATGCTTATTGTATTTAGCCTTATATTATAGACTGATTTATAAAAATAACATTTTGGTAGTGTTGGCTGAACATTTCTTTGTCGTAATATTTCCAATTCTATCTCCTTCACTGTGATTTACATGGTATTTGCGTATTTGGCCATCTTCAAGCTATCTACTCATAATAATAACAAGTGACACCTATAAAGTTAGTATTTTTGTCGTGAATTCTTTTACCACACAACGTAACATCCTAATTTTTTCATCTCAGGTAAAAAATTTAACATTTTTTTAAATTATGTATGTTGTCTCTGAATAATTATGTATGTTTTGTTCTCAGGTAAAAAATTTAACATTTTTTTAAATTATGTATGTTGTCTCTGAATAATTATGTATGTTTTGTCTCTGATTAATTATATAAGTTTTGTAATACACTATTACGTGTAGATTAAATTATTTAACATTTTTTCATATTAATGCAGATATCCTACTTGGTTGGATTTGCCTTGTTTTTTTAAAACAATTCTAAAGTTGTCGGTGATTCAGGTTAGTTAAGCAATTTTCTTCTCTTTTCTCTTTAATTTGTTCATAGTGATGATAACTCTATTTCCTTGTATTTATCTTCTTCTACACTTAAATATTTATTATTATTATTATTATATGACTTAAAAAATTTTTTTCCCTTGTAGAAATTTACATTCTACTTCTTGGATTGCATAATCACTATACATTTGCATAAGAGTACCTTCTTCCAAATGACTTCAAACCAAGGTTTGAATTCAACATAAATATATATTATTATTGCTTTATGTGTATTTGTGTTTATTAATAGTATATTTTATAATTTTTTTACAGAAAACCACATCGTAATACATGAGAGTAGAAACACCAAATATAAGCAGTTGAATGTTGATCAGAAGAGAACTTACATTCAGAAGGTCATTGATAATAATATAAAGAGGAAAAGAAATGATTTAGCTGGCAGTAGTACCAATAGCAAGGGAAAACGTAAGATTGATTTATTTTGTGGAGCGCAACAGCGAGAATATGATCATGGAGGTTTGCATAGATTAATTTTATATTTTATTAAAATAATTACATGATTTTATATATCTAAATTTATTTAACACTAAAAACTATTATTTTTTTCTAGGTCAAATTACACATGAACCAGTATGTTCTTTATTACATAAACTACGGACTCCAAAGTCTTGTTCATTTTGTGGAGCAAAAAAATTTGAACATGAGCCACCAACATCCTGTTGTCACAACGGTGAAATCCACCTAGCAGATGTGAATGTTTGATATGTACATAAAGCTTGAAACAACAAGACTTGATTATTTTAGAAAGAAACAATCAGAAATCAGAGCAGAGTTATTCCAAGGCATAGTCGATAGTGTAGCTGCTGGAGAAGCAAAAGCATGTCAAGTCGGAAAAAGAATAGTGCTGCCATCATCATTTATTGGTGGTCCTAGAGATATGCGTCGTAGATATCTTGATGCAATGTCATTAGTACAACGATTTGGCAAACCAGATATTTTTATCACAATGACATGCAATCCTGAATGGGAAGAAATCACGGAGGAGCTACATCCTGGACAGACACATAATGATAGACCGGATCTAACCTCAAGGATATTTAGAGGAAAATTACAAGACTTGAAAGATCAGCTATTTAAAAAGGAAATATTTGTAAAAGTTGCTGCCCATGTTCATGTCATCGAGTTTCAAAAAAGAGGGTTGCCTCATGCACACATGTTGATTATTCTAATGGGAAAACACAAAATCGTCTCATCAGATCATTATGATAAGTACGTATCAGCAGAAATTCCAAACCAGTATGAAAATTCAATCCTATATGAACTGGTAAAAAACATATGATGCATGGCCCTTGTGGAGAGTTAAATATGAAGAATGTTTGCATGCAAAATGGAGAGTGTAAATATCACTACCCTAGAGAGTTTTCTCCGAGATCACTACAAGCGAAAGATGCTTACCCAGTTTATAAAAGGAGCAAAAATAACAGAACAATGTTGGTTCGAAACAAAATCCTTAATAATCAATGGGTGGTACCTTATAATCCTTATTTGCTGACACGTTATAACTGTCACATCAATGTTGAAATATGCTCAGGCATAAAAGCAGTTAAATACCTTTATAAGTACATATATAAAGGTCATGATAGAGTGGCAGTAAACATTGAATATAATGAAGGGGAAAAGGTTGTGAATGAAATCAAAAATTTTCAAGATGCAAGATGGGTATCAGCTCAAGAAGCTTTTTGGAGAATATATGAATTCCATCTTAATGAGATATTCCCGGCTGTGATTAACTTACAACTTCACATGCCAAATCATCAATATGTTTCTTATTGGAAACATCAAGACCTATCTAAATTGATTCAATTGGACCATGTCTCCAAGACGATGCTTACAGAATTTTTTACTATGTGTAAAAAAATAAAAGAAGGTAACAAGAAGAAACATGAAAAAGACCATGTAAAGGAGTTATTATATGTGGAATTTCCTGAATGTTATGTTTGGGATTCAACATCAAAATCTTGGAGTCCAAGAAAACAGAGACAAGTGATAGGTCGAATAAATGGGGCTAATCCAATTGAAGGAGAGAGATATTACTTGCGACTATTGCTTACTCATGTTAGGTGTCCAAAATCATTTGACGATCTTCTGACGGTAAATGGTACTCATTGCAAATCTTTCAAGCAATCAGCTCAGAAATTAGGTCTTTTGGAATCTGATGATAGCATAAGAGAGTGCTTAGATGAAGCCATCGTCTTCCAAATGCCAACAGCACTTCGACGTTTGTTTGCAACTATATTGGTTCATTGTGAGCCTACAGATGTTAATCATTTGTGGGATAAATATATTGAATCATTATCTGAAGACTTCTCAAGGAAACCAAATGCTACTAGAGCTTCGGTGATAAATGATACTCTTCTCAATATTAACTTCTACTTAAAGAGCATGGGAAAGGATATTAAAATTTTTGACTTGCCATCTTTACAAGCCAAAAACATTACAGAGGAAGATTCATACCCAAAAGAAATAAAAGAAGAGCTAGATGTACAAATCTCAACTGATGATCTAAATGCTGCAACAAAACTTAACTATGAACAACATACTGCATACACTACAATATTAACACGAGTTGAAGCAAATAAAAGTGGAGTTTTCTTTATTGACGGTCCAGGAGGAACTGGGAAGACTTATTTATATCGTGCTCTACTTGCCACAGTAAGATCGCAAGGTATGATAGCTCTTGCTACAGCGACATCAGGTGTCGCAGCTGTAATAATGCCTGGTGGAAGAACAGCACACTCCAGATTTAAAATCAAAATCCCAACAACAGATTCATCTATGTGTGGTATATCAAAGCAAGATGGGACATCAAAACTCATTAGAATAGCTCGTCTAATAATTTGGGACGAGGCTCCTATGGCTAAACGCGTTGCAATTGAAACTTTGGATAGAACACTAAGAGATTTAATGGATAAAGATGAACCATTTGGCGGAAAAGTTATTGTATTTGGTGGTGATTTCAGACAAGTTTTACCAGTTGTGCCTCGCTCAACAAGATCACAAACTATCAAAGAAAGTTTAGTAAGCTCACATTTATGGAGAAAAATGATCAAACTACAACTTTCAAAAAATATGAGAGCAAAATCAGACACAGCATTCAGTGAATTTCTTCTTAGGATTGGGAATGGAGATGAACCAACAGTGACCCAAGATCTCATAAAACTACCTAATGCAATATTGATCAGAATCAAGGTGATGGCCTACCGGAAGATTCTCTCATAAATTCAATTTTTCCATCTTTAGATGAGAATTTTGAGTCTATTGAATATATGAAAGATAGAGCTATCCTTGCAACAAAAAATGAATATGTTGACATGTTAAATGATAGACTAATAAAAAGGTTTCCAGGAGAAGGAAAAGAATTCTATAGCTTTGATGAAGCAGTTGATGACACTAATCATCATTACCAAGAAGAATTTTTGAACACTCTGCTCCCTAATGGACTACCGCCACACAAGCTACTGTTGAAAAAATATTGTCCAATTATTTTACTAAGGAACTTGGATCCCACTAATGGATTGTGCAACGGTACAAGAATGATATGTCAAGATTTTAGCTACAATGTAATTCAAGCTAAAATCACAATGGGCCAACATGCTGGGAAAGAAGTTTTCTTGCCAAGAATACCATTGTCACCAGCAGAAGATGAAGGATTACCATTCAAGTTCAAACGCAAACAATTTCCCATAAGATTATGTTTTGCAATGACAATTAATAAATCCCAAGGGCAAACAATATCTAACGTTGGTATTTATCTACCTGAACCAGTGTTCTCTCATGGTCAATTATATGTTGCTTTATCGCGGGGTACTACTATGATGACAACCAAGGTATTAATAACATCAGATGGAAAATTTTCAGAAGAGGAACAATACACAAAAAATGTTGTATACAAGGAAGTTCTCCAGCCAAAGGACCACGAGGAATAATTCAAATGACCAATAACATTTTCAAAGGTTAGGAATTTATTATATATTATTGTACTTTGCATATGAGTTTTGTTCTTAAATCATAATTATTGTACTTTTCATATGAGTTTTGATATAGAAATAGTCTCATTTAATTTTCTTTTGAGTTTATTTATTACTTCAGATGTGTTGTTATTTATATTTATATATAACAAACTATTCTAAATCTTGCAGGAACAATGGCATCCACCAACGAAGCACAAATTCCACACATCCAAATACGCCAATTAAAAAAATTTCAAAGAGAGTGGACGATTCATGTTGTTATCCTAAGAACAATTGAGTCATCTTATGAGAACAACAAAGGATCAGGCAAAATACTAAAATTAATTTTTGCCGACTCAGAGGTAATGTATCAAAATTCTACTTGCTATAATTCTATTGATATTTGTTGATACTTATTCTTAAATAAAGTAATACATACAATGTTTAAGTACTTGCTATAATTCTATTGATATTTGTTGATACTTATTCTTAAATAAAGTAATACATACAATGTTTAAGTACAATATGCATCATTTTTTATCATGACATAACAATCGTTACTTTAAATCTATGCAAAGCAATCTCAATTTTTTAAAAATTTATAAATTATAAATATAAATTAAATTAAAATTGTTGATGCTTATTCTTATATTAATTATTTTCACCTTATTATGTATAAGATCAAAACATAATTTCCTACATTTATTAAAGAGGTAAGCAACATGTAATTGATTTTCGCATATTTTATACAACAAATATCATGCTTTCTTCGTATTTCTACGTAAATTAATTGTATACGTATGTCTAACAATATAAACAAGCAAATAATTGTAATATGACATCAACACAACATTGTATACACACTGCAAAAAAATGGTTATTAATTAATCTAAATTTTTAATAAGCATATTTACCATAAATTTAATATTTACTTGCATAATCAAGTTAAATTTTGAGCATATTAATTTATCATGTTAGTCCCTTAACTAAGTTAGTGTTGCAAAACTTTGGTAGAATTGTTTATACAAGTAGAACCTATTGGAATTTTTAACTAAGAGCTAATCCGTATAAACAATTAAATTTGTTACTTGAGATCAAATGACTTATTAGTAAGTAGTACAAATTCTAATTCAATAACATGTAACTTTATATAAATAAGGTTAGTTTAGTTGATGAGTTAAAAAGGAATTTTTTTTTAACCCGAAAATTATGGAAACCTTTCAATAAAATCTATAGAATGGTTTTTTTAAAGTTTACCACATAAAACTAAATTTATACATAACTTACGTCATCTATTACTTATCTTATTTATCTTAGGCTTAAATGAATGTTAATGTATTAGTTATTTGTGAGATAATATTAGTAATTTTTGCAGGGGAAAAAAATACAAGGTATTATGTTTGGAGAAACTATTGAAATGTATAAGCACATGCTTCAGAAGAATCATGTTCTTTACATCTCAAATGGAGAAGTCAAACCAATAAACCCGCTATATGGAAATGTACATGAGTCAATTGAGTTGACATTGACTAAGAACATTTCTATCAAAGAATCAAATGCAAATTTCCAATTTGATAAGATATTGAACAACTTTATCTCAATCAAAGAGGCAATTTCCAACGAGGATACAAGGAATATAAGTAAGTATTTCTAAACACCTTTTATTTTTATTTTAAAAATTTATAAATGAATTTTCAACTTATTATAAATTTATGTGCAGATGTTCTTGCAATGATAGCAAATGTCAAGCCTATGATCAAGTACGTTACAAGATATAATAAGGCAGACACAAGGCGGGACATCATTATAGTAGACAAAGAGTATACACGCTTGCTTTTATTTCACAATAAATTATTTATTTAAAATATAATATATTAACCTAAAATTTTCTTAACTTTTCTTACACAGTGAGATAACATTATCTGTAACTTTATTCGGAGATTTAGCTTGCAATGAAGGTTCAATGATTGAAGGAAATATACATGAGCCAACTATAATTGCGTTATCAGATTTTAAAATAGCATTGTACAAAGGTAAAATATTTAAAATGAAATTGTAAATTAATTATCAATAAATTTCAGATTCTAATTATAACTATTATATATGCAGGGGAGATGTGCTTGACTTCGCAAATTGCATCTACAATATGTATCAACCCGGAAATACAACTTGCTAAGGAGATGCGAGAATGGTAATTCAAATAAAAAAGGTAACTTAATAAATTGACTTTTAAATATTTTTAAAATTATATGCAGGGCTCTTTCAAAAGACCAGATCAAGACTAATGGTGCTCCGTCAAGGCTATTTAAAAAGCAACGAAAATGAAAATTGTTGATATTTTGCAAGCTTCACAAGACTCATCAAAGGTATGATACTATAAATCCTACTATAAATTATTAATTAATCAAGAGCTTCAGTTTAAAAAAAAAATAATATAAATATATATTGTTACATTGATGTTTATATGTAAACTACGATTATAACTAACTAAAATTTTTTAAATCTACAGGCACAATATGGCTGCTTTATTGGAAAAATAAGTAATATCTTAAATAGACATGAGGCTTGGTACTACTCATGCACAGGCTGCAATAAAAAAGTAGACAAAACTATTTACGACAAATGTCAAAATTGTCAAAAAAACAATGAAGATAGTATACCAAGGTAAAATACTATCAATTATTCATGAAATGAAAATATAAAAAATAAATATATAAATATCATCTAATGCACAATGATAATATAAAATGTAGATATGTTGTTAAAATCATCGTGGAAGACGAAACAGACACTGCAAGAGTCACACTTTTTGACGCAGCACAAACATTGATAGGATGCGATGCTAAAAAATTCATGGATGATATAAACGAGGTAACTTCTTACTTTATTATATTTTATACATATAAAACAATATATTTCATGTATAAGATCTTAATTTTTTTCTCATTAAAACAGAAAAATAATCAGAGTTCATTGTTTCAAAAGTTTGTTCTCAACATCGGAAAGACATACAAGTTCCTTGTAAAGTTGGATGAGAAGTCAAAGGATGAACGTGCACAAGGAAAGATAATAGCACAAGAAATTCAAATCCAAGAAGACATCACAATTAACATTGATGATGATGATTCATTTCTCGATTTACCAAGAAAGAAGATAAAGGTGGAGAAGGATTGATCATTGGCCAACAAAAATTAAACTTGAATGATTTTTAATTTTTATTACATTTACAAAGTGATTAAAGGATTTTAAATGTGCTTTTCATAAGCTTTTAAGTTTATTAATTGATGAATTTAATTTGTCAGGAAAATTTATGATTTATACTCATATGCTCATATAGTTGTTTGGTAACTTTTGCATGCTTTGATTGTTATTGCAATTATTAACTTTAATTTAACATTCTATTATGTGAATCTAAATACATATTCATAGAATAGTTCACTTTATTAATTTATGTGAATCTAAATACATATTCATAGAATAGTTCACTTTATTAATTTAATTTTGCATGTCAAGTATTTTTTCCTTATCTATACTGCACAAAAAATATATAGTTCACTTTATTAATTTAATTTTGCATGTCAAGTATTTTTTCCTTATCTATACTGCACAAAAAATATTGTTGATGAGTCGTTCGCAAGAAAGATGATGACTACGCACAGCTTCCTGAACCTGTTGAGAGGAAACAATAGCTTTCTATAGAGAAGGTATTTAATATATTAAACTGTGTGTTTTAGTTATGCTCATAAGATTTTCTTTTGTCTTGTCTAGACAGTTTCATGTTATTTTGAGTTTCAGATTTTTGTTTGATCAATGAAAAATGGACATCTATTAGATATTCTTAGCGGTCATGGAGGACCAGCTAATGGTTTGATGTTTTCACCTACAAGTGTAAGTCAACTCTATTTCTTTCTTTTTCTTGTTTAGAAAGATAAAATTGCAAGTTAAATCTCATTTCATGCTTGGAATTTGTCAGAAGGTTTATTTGATGATTATGTTGGTTTTTTATCAAGTTGCTTGTAGAAATGTGATATAAGGTCATTCGAGGGGCAAAGGTGAGTGACAAGGCTATCAAAGCTGCATATTCCTTCAGGAGTCCTCATCCTCATCATTTTTTCAGGTATACCCGAGATTTTCATGCCCTTTTCCCCTTTTACATTCGTCGGTTTAATTGGTACTATATTGGATGATTGCTCTTTGTTATCCATTTATGTGTTAAAATGTTCAATTTACACACATGATTGCTCTTCGTCGGTGGTTGTATCATTTATGTTTTGTTAACAAGTTATGACTCAAATCCAGAGGGATGACTGGGAATTAGTTATAAGAAATCAAATAGATGTATTTACAAAAATTTTAAATGTTGATACCAATCTTAAAACATGTACTACCTACTCTTATGTCTCTAATACTCTGATTCTGTTATCTAATATTGATGAAAAAACCACTGACTTTGACATTTGAAGCAACCTTCAAGATGGGGAAAATGTATGTAGCAAGTTTGTATTTAATAATCAACAACTTAATCAAATGTTGTGAAAGTGTAAATGGGATCAAAGCTGCAAGGCAAGGGTCTGACTTGAGGAGCTTTAGCGGAAATAAGTGCAAGGAATTTTTGAATATTTAAATTAAGTATAATATGAACATAATATTTGGGAAAATGAATTAGTACTTTGCATATCTAATGAAGCAAGTTAAGAAATTAAGAAATTAGTCCTAAGGTATTAAATTTAATTTCAATATCACTACAAGAAAATTATAATACCTGAAGATCTTCTAAATTTTTATGTAGAGCTGTTTTACAGTTAAAGTTGAGACTTTAGCATTCCTTATGGCAATAAAACTAAAACTTAAACTGATTTCATTGCCACTATGAAGGGGTTGGACACTGTTTTTTATTTGTTCTGGTGGATTGTTTGTCTGTGTGATGTGGGTAGGGGATGCTTTGGAGCTTTTATATGTTGCCAACAGTGTTGCATAGACACAGGACGGTGGTGTCAAGCCTTAATGATTTTCTCTTCAACTATCTTTTCTCTAACTATACAATAATCAATCTCAATGTGTTTTTTTCTTTCATGAAACGCAAGATTATTTGCAATTTAATGTTACTAGCTTAATATATAATGGTACTCTGGTTTATTTAATGTTCAAATGCGCTTAGTCCAGCCATCATGGCGCAGTAGATTTGAAGATACTGAAAGATAGCATTAGACATTTTAGATGAGCAGGGAAGTAACTATCTGTTGTCATTTTACCCCCAATTCCTCCCCTACAGATCTATTTGAGTTGATTCTTTCCCAGCTTATCATTATTTAAATGAAATAAGGCCTCTGTTCATTATATGAAAGTTTCGGAATCATAGGATACAGGTACTTGATTGTTGAGCCATAGGACAGGTGTAGTATGAATATGTAGTAAGTGAGCCAGATCAAGTTTGAGTCTATTCATTAACTAATAAAATAAAACAAGCTTAAGCATGCAGCAATCAAGTGAAGCCAATCCCTTCATGAACATCTTCTCAAATTCGTAGTTATAGTTGTTCAAAGATTATTTTCTAATCGAATAATGTTATCGTCTCTGACTGTCTTTCGTCTTTCCTTCAGGGTTATTATGGGGAGTGTTAGCAACTATGTAGTTAACAATGGAGCATGCCCCGTCACCGTTGTCAAGAGCGTAGAAGCACATGAAGGCTAGATGATAATTCTAAACTTTCCAGTAAGTGTTTCTCCATAATAAAATCTGTATCAAGTTTTTAAACCCTTTGATCTGTCTAATTACTTACAAATGAGAGTTGGAATAAACATGGAGATTTCCATAAAATGGGTATTTAAGTGAAGATTCTTAATCACATGTTAAATAATTTTCGTCTACAAATGGAGATTTTGTTAATGCATTTAACAATCCATTTTTATTAGTTTTGGATCTAACACTTGTTTGAGAATGCTTTAGTTTTGTGGAATGGTGGGTTATAAAATTACGTTGAGGTCTGTTGTCAAATTATTTAAGTGTAAACATACAAGTTAAGCTGTTATGCCCTCTTTGGATTTTGTTGTATTGCGAAATTATAAATTATAGATTTTGTTGTTTTCTACAGGTCACACCAACTGCTCATTTCCAAAATGACCTTGGCCTTGACAGTTTGGATGCTGTAGAAAATGACATGGCTCTGGAGGAAGAATTTGGGTTTCAGTTACCTGAAAATGAAGCAGACAAGATCAACTCTGTCGACATGGCTGTCGACTTCATCGACTCTAATCCCCAGGCAAAATAAGAGAATTAATTTGTTCTTTTAATTTTTACATTCTCTTTGCAATGTCTATTTACGTCGGAGGGAGGGGGGGAAGGCAGATTTTGAGAGAAATATTTGGAATAATTATTTAATTTACTTTCCCACTCTACTATATGCAGCCAGACATTCTGAAATCTCAAAAGTTTTGTTGGAAAATAAATGTTTGCTGCTTTTTTAATGTGTTAGCAAGAGTTGCCTGCCTGACATGTGATTGGGAATTTCCTTTGACTTTTTCTGTTATGTGAATATATCCCAATTAATTTAAACAGGCACTTAGTTTGGAGAGCTTTACTCCTTGCATGATCATAGTTACTCGCCATTTTACATTTTCAGTTAACTGTGCTAGAATATCTGATGGATGATTTCCGTTGGATGAGAATAAGTATCAGGGATTTTTATTTCTCAGAAGCTATGGAATTGGCTTAGGATCAAAGGACAACATGAAAATTACAAATTGTCATCGACTTCAACCACTCTAAATTGGTACTAAATTAAACAATAAATAAATCTAAGGGACTGATCATACATCCATGAAGACATGCTTATACAGCTACCCAATAAAATCAAAAAAGAGAAGATGAGGGATAAGGAAAATATTAAGATACATGTAAGGACCTGACTTATAGCTGAGACAAATCATATTTAAGCGAGTTTAGATTGTGAAACTTCTTTCTAATAGTAAAATTTATTGGACATCGTGGTAAACATGTTCCAATATAAATCTGTAAATTGGAATCATATTATAGCATTTACAAGATTGATCACTTGCTACTCCAATAATTAATTTTGACACATTACAAACATAATAGCCTTTAATCTTGCTCAAGTTCTGTAATTATTATTCTCAATTCTCAAGAAGACCATTCAAAATAATGAGAGTTCCACGGATTCTACGACGAGAAAAGCTAATGACACCATTGGGAATGTTCTCAGATCAAAGGATTTTATATACAACAAAATATCATAATTTAACAATGCCTCATAGGCAGAATTATCTGAACGATTGGCTTCAGCATCTCTCGATGACCAAGGATTCCGCGCCCTGAAACTACTTTGCTGTAGTATTGATGTTAAAATTGGACCCTGCATCTAATGCAACTTAATAAGAATGAGAGAAAAATTTAGTTGTCTTCTAGAAATTTGTTTGCATATGTTGGATGATTGTGAAAAAAAAAATTCAAGAATTTGCATTGAACAAACTTTTACACTGTTTTTCCCCTTGCTGGACATGTTCATTACAACACATAGAAAATTTCTTATTTACTTAATATATAATAATTTCAAATATGAGATTGACATTCTATTACAATAGCAATAAGATATTCTATTTTGTAAGTAAATTTGCAAGATATTATAATATTATATATTAATGCAAACTTACACTAAAAGATATTATTTTTTGCAAGTTACTTTGAAAGATATTATCAAATGATATATTATTCCAAACTTACACTAAAAGTGCAATCATATTCAAACATATTTTGTAAGTTATTTAAATTAGATATTCTATGTTTTATGTAGCCATAATTTACTCTAATTTAAATAACATTTAACTTCGTAATCCATTACTTACATTCCATAATTTTATAACAAAACTATATAAATGAAATTATAAATTAAAAAAAAACCACGTGCATTGCACGTGCAATAAACCTAGTAGACTTAAAAGAAGGAGTATATGCAATCATTTAAGGCATCCATGAAAATTAATTCTTTATGCGCATTGTAATAATTTGACCTCTTCTTGGGGGGGGGGCGGGGGGGCGGTTTCTCATTCTACAGATATCCCTAAAAAACATATATCTAGAGATTTTTAGATGTAATAAATATTAATCATGCCAAAAAAACATTGTCAGAAATGAATGTAAAATTATAAAACTTCAACTTAAATTGTTGTGTAAGAAACCAATTATGCTTTGAACGAGATAGATAAATAGTGATGTGATGTATCCTAAAAGCTTATAGTAGACATATTTTGTGAGCAGTGAACATATACCGATTCATGAAGGGGGAAAAACAAACAAACAAACATATAGCGATTAGTTTCTATGCACCAATAACAAAAGTGCCAAAAAAATACTTTTGTATTGAAAAATGATTGATTGTAAAGTAAAGTATGTAATAACTTTGTCATCTGGACAAGTGTTACAGGAAAGAAATAGATACAAAGACATGAATGACAAAAGAACAAAATACAATTAAATGGTTAATTTTAGAAAACCCCCTGAACTAGTTCCTAAAGCCAAATAATCTCAGAGCAGATAAGCCTGAACAATGATAAGAAATAATATCATATCAAAATTAATCAAAAGAATCCATAACTAATAAGTCCAGAAATGATAGAAGATTAGGACACCTAAAGCAAATTGAAGCATTCCTAAATAGATTATATGTATTTGTTTCTTGAACTTCTCTTATACTTCTGAACTATTCCATCTCTCAGATTTTATTGGACATGGCAATACAATCTTCTCTTCATCAGCATCAAGTCCACAATTACTACTAGCATCGAAACTTGAAAATAATATAAGCATGTAAGATCAAAGATAGGGCATGATAACTAGTCAACATAATATCTAGTAATTTATTGGAGATTGGATTAGAAAGAGAGGCGTACGTTAAGAACATGAGGGTTTAGGAATTCAGTATAATTAATTAAGGGGCAATTAATTAGTAATTACATTTTTGTAATTAACACCGTTGATCATCCGTTAGCTCAAAAATATCAAAAGAAACAATAATGATGGTGAATTGATGAGTTAGAAAATTGGATGAGGTTATTTGACTTTAGTAACTAGTTGCTTACCTTGTATTTAGTAACTAGTTGCCCACAATTTAATTAAATTCATTTGTTGCCAGAATCCTAGCCATTTGACTTGCTCCATTAAAAAATAGACATCGAGCAACTCATTCAAACCTTGATTATTCATTGGTCAATAGTTTTAAACCATAATAATCGTAATAATGATCTATATTAAACTCTATATGTGAAATTAGTAAAACCTCAAAGTAAACTAAACCTTAAATCCACGAGTACTATTTCTATCAGAACCGTGCGCATATGAGTGGACGGTTCTGACCTTCGATCTACAAAACAAGATAATTCCCCTCCCCCTGCAATCCCCCA